AGTTCCTGTCATCAGTCTGTAACATACAACCATAACAACATTATGTCTGTTTTTCTCTGTTCTTTTTATCCTCAATTAAAAGGATATCTCCTACTTATGTATTATATAAATTATTTTCTCCATGAATGAATAATATCTTAAAATTCAGTGCTATTTCTCCTTTCTTCTCTGGACTTTTTCTTTTTTAAAAATACATGTTCTCTAATTGTGAATTGCTACTTGCAACTTCTTTGCCAAGTGATATTATGGAGATTATACACACACATATATATTTCAAATTTACTGTGTTTTCCACATGTTGTATATTCAAGGCCAAACTCAAGTTTGGTTGGATCTGAAGCTTTTATGATTTGAGGAGACCACTTAAAAAAGGAATATAAAATTAGCAATGCAGAATTGCTACAGTTACTCCTAGGGCCTTGAAGTTTAAGCTTCATTAGTGCTACAGTAAATATGTTCTTGTGTGTGTTTGTACAGGGTAGAGAAGGATGGGTAGCTTGAAGTTGCTGCGTTGGGAATTCCTGAAAGAGAATGATATGGCCTCCAAAGTTGGAAAACACTAAGAAAAAAAAAGGAAGCCTCACGATCAACTTCAGAAATCTATCTGACTTTTGGTTTTAATCTCCCTGGTGTAATTCTCCATATAAAACAATTGTCTTTTTTAAGAGTAGCGTCCAGTTTTCAATAGCAATGAGACCCGTGTTCAGCTAAGATCAGGTTTCCAGGGCCCCATTTTAGAAACAAGCATAGCTCAAATCATGCCAAGCTTAAGAGCATTCCATGACAAGCAACAGAAGCTTTGCAAACTATGGTCAGAAGGCACATTTCATGACCTTTAGCCTGAGAAACATTAATGATGGCTTGTTGCTTTGTCCCTAGAGGAAAAATCAAAAGTAGTGGTGGCAAGAGCATTCCACTGTGGTGAAAATACTATAGTCACAAAGTTGTCTCCAAAAAGAAGAAAGAAAATCTCAAGAAGGTCCTTTAGCCCAGTGGTTCCCAAAGAAGTTTCCTCCTTCTACTGGGACTTCTTGAGGCTTTTTCAGATTGGCTGCCCCAGACACTCACAGGTATATTAGATGTTACACCTGGGGTGTTTGGAATCATAGATGTGTGACTCTTCAAGAAGATTACTATACAGCTTTATTTCACTATTTCCACCCCGAACCCAGGAATATAGACAGCAAACTTATGCTACTAGAAGTTTGCAAGTCATTGATTCATTTTTGTATATGAAATGTCAAAGAGGAAAATCAGTATATGACAGACCATTTTTGTGTACTTGAAATTTTTAATAAAGTGTGTTATGAGATTTTTAGATAGGTTTAAATAAAGTTTTAAAGTAAGTATCTATTGCCTGTCTTAAATACACAAATGGAAAAAAATTGTAATCTTTTGGATATATATTTTTTATAACACACACGTGCCCTTGCAGTGCAGTTTCTTCACTTATGGTGATTAGCAACTATATGAAAAAAATGAATATGTCAATCTTTGTATATAAAGATGGAAGTACTGACTTTGGAGTTATTTTTCCATAAAAGGCATACAAGTTGGAAAGAGGGGAGATGCTATCAAGGACCAAAAAGCAGAGACATGCACACTGGTCCTCTGGGGGATCAAACCCATGCCCTTGGCACCATGTCTACGGTATGCCTACCAACTGAGCTAACTGACTGTAAACTTGCCACTTAGTATCTCAGGTCTGTTAAGCACGATTGCTAGCAAACACAGCCTCCTTCAAGTCCTCACTGAATAAGGTTCTTTTCCAGCCAGAAATACACTGTGGCAGGAATGGAAATGGATTTTAATTTTTTAAGCATTCAACATTGCTGTTTTTCTTGCTGGAAGCTTCTCAAGCTTGAAATCTATGATTTGGCCCAGTGAGGTGATCCATTCAATGATCTCTGTTCAGGCAGTCACTGGCTACTCTTAGGTTATGACTGGGTTCCATTTCTTTTTATAAAGCCCATGTTATTTCTGTTAGGAGGGCTTGAGGACTGAAAGGGGGAAAGGGGAACTGGATAGCTCAGGGGCCTAGCTAATGTCATCTGATCTCTTACCCTGAGGCTTTTTTGAATTTGGCTCCTCTTCACACAGTCTCAAAATATGCACCAACCCTTCAGCAGTCATTGACAAGTGGGCTCTGGAGTCAGACTGCTGTAGTTAGAAACCAGGCTCCTCCAATTACTAGCTGTGAGGTTTTAAGAAAGTCACTTCATCTCTCTGTGCCTCAATTTCCTTGACTATACAATGGGGATAATAATTTAAAACCTGGAAAAATGTCTGACAAATTAAATGAGACAATATATACAAAGCACATAGTCCAGAGCATAAAGCAAGCACTCAGTACATTTTAGCTATTAAAAATACCAACACTCAAAAGTTTCAAAGGGCTCAGAGCCTTAAGATAACAGAATAGATTGGAAGAGTAAAGAATGGGATAAATATGGGACATATAATATTGGCAGAAAGACGATTTCTGGGTAAAACACAATTTGACAAATTCCTGGACCCAGGACAGACTAGGGTTACTTTTACACAGTTTGAAGTCAAGAAAGAAGGAGAGGGAAAAAAGAGCATGTTGGAAGGGAGGAGGGAAGGTGATTGGTTGTGGAATGAAAGGAAAAGATGGTGAAGTTGGAAAACAACAACTTTATTTCAGTGTTGTGCTCAGAGTTGAGACCCATGCTTGGAGGCCATGTATTTGCCTTCTGGTTGACTAGAGGGGCTGACCTTCCTCAAGCTGGCCACAAAATTCCCCATAATGCTAACGTACAAGGAGAAGCTTCCATGTTCTCCCATGCCTCCTTTTTCCTTGAAAATAATAACTTGAAAATGTATAGATTCCCTGTCAAGTTCTGGTCAAACACCTAGCTTCCCCTCCCTTCATTAAGAGGAGGTCCCACTAGTGGATGTGGCTAATCCTTATGGAGTCTTGAAGCCTATAGCCTTCCACAGCGCCATGCAACTAGCGAGTCCATGATGCAGCCAGGATTCTTTTGCCTGGTCTGGACTTGCCCCTTAGACAGGCTAAAATAATCTTTGCCATAGGGAGGCCACAGGCATTTCCCCACACCTTACACTCAGCAAGCCACATTGGTAATTCTTTTCTTTTTTTTTTTTTTAATGGAGCACTTCTTCCCTTTAGCAAAGATTCACTTTAGGGTTCCTTTAGATGTTGTATTTCTTGACTCTGTGACTTATTTCTAAAAGACAAATGTGTATAGAAAAGTGCAACTTTCTATTAACTAGCTCACCTGTCCTTCTCTAGTTATGAAATGTTAATTTCAGACTCACATTTAGGAAGATCCAGAAGAGTTTTACTGATCATTCAGGAATTTTTAAACCATGTTTTAAAAAGGACAAGATTTTGTGTGGTGGAATTGTCAAGATTTGAATTATTGGAAAATGTAATTTCTGTAGTGGTACATGTCACATTTGAATTAACGAGAAAATTTGATCCAGAACACCCGGGTTTGTTTTTTGAGGGAGGTGATGGTAGATTTTCTCCACACCCGTTAACAGAGAATTTTCTTTATTTAGCGAGACTCGATTCCTCAAACAGGCTGTGACCATAACACAGCTCACGGAAGCTCCTAGGTTAAGGAATGTAAAGAGGTCAAATGCTAGCATTGAAACAGATACGGAATAAACAACAATTCAGCAATATATAAAGAGAATAATTACAGAAGTTAGAAGAATGGGTTGGAAATGGTGAGCTGGAGGTCAGTAGGAAGAATTATTCGTACATAACTTCTGAGAGGAGGTAGGCAATTCTTAATTTTATAAGAAACAGGAAACAAATCCTCCCACATCGCATTCCGATCCCGAGTTCGGGTGCGCAGAACGCAGTCTGTGAGCTCCGGAGAAAGAAAGCAGCCTCGGGACGTTTTCTAAAGTGTTTTTTGCAGTGCAAGAGCTTAGAATGCGTTAGTTTTATGCATCGACTCCCATTCCCATAAATGCTTCACGGGGCGCCTTACTTTTCTCAAGGTTGAATCACGTTTGTCAGATTCTTGTAAACTGCGTCTTAGACCCCAATGCGCTTTGGGGAAAACGGAGGCGAACAACCTGGACGCCTAGAACCGTTTTGCAATGAATGAGCGAATGAATGAACCCCGGCCGAAACGCTGGAGACTGGAGAGGAAGCAGGAACTTTTTCCGCGCGTTGCGAATAAGGCGTCTGCAAACTTAGGACCCAGGGCAGCCAGGGCTATGGAAACTCAGTCTCTTCAGCCTAAGCACCTGAAAACAGGTGCGGTTCCAAGAGAGCGGTCCCAGCCTTGCACTGACTAGCCGGGGGCAAGAGGATATGTGGCCTGCCTGGAGGGGACTGCACAGTGTCTCTGTTCATTGTGAGCTGACCCAGCTAGGGGCTTGAAAACCCAGCTGTGGGAGCCCTGGGGCGCACTCCTTGCCCTCCTCTGCTCACACAGGGGCTTGCCTAAGTCGAATCCCTAACCTGGTGGCAAGTCATTTCCTTCTCTAACTTGGTGGGTCTTTGCAATAAATTGAGCAATAAAATCACAGGGGCAGAAAGAGAAAATAGCTAGAAAAGTCACAAGCGTTTCTTGGGGAAGACTAGGGCGCGGGCTGTTTGGACTGTAGCAGAGCTGTGGGGCCCAGACTGGGAGCGGCGCGGAGCGGGACCGGTTTTCCGGGGCTGGCAGCTGCCTCGAAAAAGTTTCCTGTGGAATACTCGCCAGCGGGGGCGGGGGAGGGGGCGGCAGTCGTAGCAGTGGACGTGGGAGGGGGCGGGAGGGCGGGGGAGGCTGCGAAAAGCCTGCTCGCAAACCGTTATAGTCCTTCAGCACACCCCTCAGCCGGTGGCCCCCCTACCCTGCCTCCCCGCCGCGCGGCAACCCACCTGGCGACGTGACGCTGCACCAATCCCTTTCGAGCTGCTCTGGGGCCCCCTCTCCTTGCACCGCCCCCCTCCCCACCCAGAAAGAGGCGCACCCTGCCGGGGCAGACTCAGCGCTCTAGCCACTGAGCACCCTTCTAGCTTCTTCGTCTCTGGGACCGACGCTCAGGCTATTCTCTCGCCTTAGCCAAACTTATTTTCCCGCCTCGAAAACTCCGTCTTCCCTCCACTCCCAGCTCTTTTCCCTCCACTTTCCGTTCCTCTATCTCCCACGCCACAAGCTCCCAATCCCCCACTCCTTTCTCCCGCCCTCTCCTTTCCTCTCTCCCCCATTCAAGTCCTCATCTGTTTCCACCTCGTACTCCCTTCGCGTTCCCAACTAAATTGCCTGCTCCCGTTCTGCCAGAAGCCATGGCGGGACCTGGGGGCTGGAGGGACAAGGAGGTCACGGATCTGGGCCACTTGCCGGTGAGTAGAGGACACCCATAGACTCCGAAATGCCCTCTTTTTGTGGGTTCTGAGTACCGGGAGAGGAAGAAGACGCCCTCAAGTCAGGCTAGTCCAGGACTTCGACGGGGCCCCAGGCGCGGGAGGGAATCCTGGGAGCCAGCGTGCGGAAAAGGCGCCCCCTGGGCACAAGGGACTCGCCAAACTCTATGGAAAGGCAAATGCACTGGGTGGCAGGGAGGGATGCGGGGGAGAAAAGAGGTGGCAGTGGGGTGCTGCGAGCTCTAAACAGCGGTACATTTTCTAAATGTGGCCTGCTTTGTCAAGCAGCGCTCCAGTACCTGTCCTGGCCCGCTCCAGGAAAGGCCAAAAGGCACGACGTCGTGTGGCTTCCTGAGAGCATTCATTCCTGTTACCCTGTTGCCCATCGTTTGCTGCTGCTTTTGCCAGCAGGGATGCTTTCTTGAGGGGTGACTTTTACTTTTAAGTGACAAAGGGCTAGAAAATTAAGGCATGGAAGTCTAACTTCTCTCACTTTCTAATAGCACTTTCTAAAACTTTTTCTTATTCTTGCGAAGGCAGTGTTTCCGATTTATTGTCACAGGAGCTACAGATCTCGACGCCATTTGGGGAATAAGTGAATTTTGCACACCCCATTTTTTAAAAGTATTGTACTCCGTAGCTAGTCAAGCTTTCTTTTTCTGAGGTTTTCATTTGTGAGTTGTTGTTTTCCCGAATGCCCCGCTTTTCTGCAGTATTGTAATTGATTGGTGAGTTATTATCGCCGTTGTTATTAGTAGACTTATTATTTTAGCAGCACCGTTTATTTCATTGGCATCTGGTTTCTGGCTGATATTGGATCCCACCCAAATTCGTGTTTCAAGTTCCCTTTTTAGATTGGCATTTCACTCTACCCTCTCGTGAATGCAAAAGGCCCCTGGACTCTCCAAAAGGGAGTAAGCAGGCACCATGCTGGAATGATCACCAGGCAACCGTAGTTTAAGGCTGTGGCCTACTTGTTTTGGGAAAAGCTAAATATTAACCTTGAGGTTATAGGACTCTTCAAAGTCATATTGACTTAATTTTAAACATATTTGGCATTTAAAAATTGTGTTTTTGATGATGACAGATGCCTGCCTCCCTCAAAACTGGGGCATTCCTAAAGTCTCGCCTATATAATTTTACACTAAGTAATGTATATGAGGAGGAGAGGTGGTGAACATGGGTAACATTTTTAGCAGAGTGTTCTCTGCCATTAAAACAAAAACAAAAGTCAATGAAAAAACGTGGATTACAAATATTATCATTGTGATTATTTATGCAGTTTCGTAACACAAAGTCACAGAATTTTTAAGATTAAATCTTTTTCTAGCCCGTATGCACCCCAAATTTATCCCTTTTGGTGTGTGTATATTTCTGAAATGTGGAGGCCTCAATTGGTGGTTTCCTTTCTGAGCAGAAATCTCATATTCAGATTAGATTTACTCCCAAGTAACAGTGCAAAACCAAGGAATAAAATGCTACCTTCCTCCGACATTTTTTCTGTATGGCGAGGGAAAGAGAAAGAAAGCAAACGAGGGCATATATGTAAAACCACACATGGACAAATTGAAATAATCTCCTTGCTAAAAATGATTAAAGAGAGGAATGGTAAATACCTCGTAGAAATGATATGGCAGAGAATTCCAAACCCATTGAGAGAAAGAAAAAAAAGTTTTACTGCCACAAAAAAAGGGGGGGGGGAAATGACCCAGACGAACTGACCTGGTCATGGCCCTGGGACATAAAAATTGGTGGAACTCAGGAGATAAGAAGAAAGACTGCAATCTTTATATTGCAGTATAATGGAATATTAGTTTTCTGGAGCTTGGAGGGGGGTGTGTGGGGAGGGTAGAAAGATAAGTTTGATTTGTAATTGGAGGGAGAGTTAGGAGAAGATATGAAACCTCAGAGCACTGATGCTTGGTCTCATTTTACAAAATTCATGAAAGCCTCATAAAGTGCTCAGGGTCTAACAATATGTAAATTTTATACATAAATCATTTTGTCTCACATGGAAGTCTTAACTATCTGAGAAAATTATGCATAATGCTCCCTCCTCTCCAAACACCCAGATCTGAACCCTAAGAAATCTAGCACACCCTTTATAATTTTCTTTACTGTCAAATTTTCAGAGATGGGAGGTTATTGTTGCTTTGGCCACTGAGTTATATACAGTTCAGTGATTTGGTATTTCTTTAGATTTGCCTTATTTTCTGATCTCTTGAAAAAGTTAAAGCAAATGAAGAGATGAAGAGCCATGCAAAGTAGGTGATAAATGAGACACAAACCTGCATGTGGTAGTATCCCTTGTAATAATTATCCTCAATAGAATATATGTCAAAGTCAGAAAACTGACATCTGTCAACACCAAGTATATCAGTTTGCCAACAGCCAGACAATGAGAGGAGACTCAAACTTTGGAGTTTCAAATTGAGCAAAACAAATATTGCGGAATGTAAAATACTTAAATATGGGTCTAGTTTGAAAGTGATACATTTATGTCCTTTGTAGGACTGGCCAGCTAAATAACCACAAAACAAAGACCCTTGAGAGAAGACAGGCTTGCTGTACAAAGTGGAATTTAAAGAAAGTGGCAGAAGGTTATTCAGTATTTTTATTATTTGAGATATATTATTTTCCAACCAAAAAGTAAGCAGGAGTGAAAGCTGGGGAAGTGGGAAATGGTGAGAAAATTATGTAAATCTTAAAATTAAAAAAATATGAACTCATTTAATTATACAACTTTTTTTGCAAAATACCTTAAAGTTAGAGACATAAAATAAGAGAGCCAATGTAATTACTAGTGAAGTCCAATATATTTTTTAATTAATGAGTTACTGTAATTTTTCTGATTTTTATTGAATATTTTCTATAGGTGATAAAACAGAAAAGGAAATGCACAAGTTTGTGGTTTGTGCTTCCTTTTTGAAAGGAGACTTGCAAAATTTCATGTTTTTATATATATTTTTGCAGTATTCATGAGTGTAATGTACATATATTTACTTTGCTCACCAGCAATACCTGGGAGATATATATATTCCTGGTATGCCTATGTCCTTGAGACTGGAAACTATTTCTTCATCTCCAAATCTGGCATGTCTTTCACTATGATTGTCCCCTTTGCCTTCTGTGCCCAGTATGGTAATGACATTCCTCACGGCTGTGGGCCTTGGTATTTGACACTGCTATGTGTAGTCCTAATCTATATTGGGGGTCAGGATTAGACATGCCTTGAGGACAGTAGTAGCAGAGGTGATCTGAAATAGCATATGATCCAAAAACTATATTTGAATTACATTAGGTTTATATTTAAATATAACCGCCACCTCTCTCAGTCTTCTACCACTCAGACCAATTCTGCTTTCCACATTTGGTTATGAGAAACTTCCCACATAACCAAATCCTTTAACCTCCTGTTTGGAAGTAGTTTTACCTTCATTCAAGTCCACAATGATTGAAATATTCAGCAGAAACTTCAAAGACTATATATATGTAGATACATAGCCTCACCTCCGCTTAACATTGTAGTTCAACCTATTTTTTCAGTCATTTTTTTCTAGTTTCTAGAGCAGTGGTTTTAATATGCTAATGCACAAAAATAGTGCACAATAATAAAAAATCCTCTTGGGAACCCATTGCCAAAAATTCTGATTTCTGAATTTCATGGTAGGTCCAAAGAATCTGTATTTTTAACAAGATTCTCCATATGATTCATACGTAGGGAGAATGTATACATTCCACAGGTTGAGAAGTACTGGTCTGGAGGAAGAGATTTTCCTTTCTAAACTTTTCACTTGAATTGTGAAGCCTATTCCCTTAACTATCTTTAAAATCCACTCTGACACTTATTTTGTTATATTTACCATTTTCAGGTTCTTGCTTCATAAACTCTTCATAAAATTGGTGTTTCTAATATGAAAAATAAAAGAACAAAAATCTCCTTGTCAGTGCTGTGCAATCATTCTCCTTCCTTTTGCAGCCTGACTATTGGAATGCATTTATTCACTCTGCTTCTTTACTATCCTAAATTTAAAATTTTTCACTACCCATATTGACCATTTTTGGTTCCCTTTTTCTCCTTAATCTCTACCATATTTGTCTCTGTGGATCAGCCTCTGCTTTGAAATTTTTCTCCCTTAACCAGTTAACACTGCCTTCTAGTGGCACTTTTTCTTCCTGTTACCCCCACTTTTGACTTTTATTAAAATGAGCCATCAAGGTGGTCACTCTTTCGTACCCTTGATTTCAGGTGACAGAAATAACCTCCAAATTCTGGGTTTCTGCAGACAGCCAGACTAGGACTTTTCAGTTGCAAGATATAATTTAAATACATAGAAAGATTTTTAACAAAAGTGAAAATTATTTGTCTAACAGTTTATGGTCCAAAATATTTTAAGACTTAGATTTTTATTAATTTATTTTAAGAAAAAGCTTAGAAATTAGAGTGTCTTCCTTACTGACTATTTAGTTTACCTAAATGGGACACCAAAACATACTGAACCCTCAAATAATCATCAGATTGATATTGTAGTCATAAATACAAACATCTTTCCTCTTCTGGTTTGCTTATCTTGGGGTGGCAGGAAAGAGGGAAAGACAAAATAATTATGGAGACCACTATGATGTGGACTTTTAAATTTTGCAGTGACTAAATAGAAGGTTCGTTTTCAATGCTTCCTTCCTTAGGAGCCGAGAATAAACCTGCTCTGACTATAAGTGGAAAATACGATGTGAGAAATTGGGTATTGTTAACCTAGTAATTAACATCGTCCCTTTTCTCTTTTTTGTAGTTTACCATTTAGCCTTGAAAGACAGTAGCATGGAAATAGGGAACAAAAAATATCACATAGAACTAATGAAAACAATATAGTCTTAGAAAACATGGATACTAAGTTGAGCTACCTTCAAAAACAGAAGACATTTTTAAAAATGATACTTTATTAATGTGAGCATGGAAAGAATTAAGATGGTTTGGTCATTTGGGAGGTGGAAAGAAGTTTCCTGAAAGCATAAACATAAATAAGACCTCCGCGAAGTTCCACCGGCATTTTCCTTGGTATTTCTTTTGAATAATTAGACATCTGAGTTCAAATCTAAGTAAGGAACTTATGTTATTGAAGGCTAGAAAAGGATTAAAGAAAGTTAAGGCTGTTTGTGTAAAAAGATGCAGACATAAAGGTTGTACAGATAATACAATAATTATCTAATATATGATTTTTAAGCTAAAATGCAACCTTAACTATAACAAGGTGTAGTTTACAAATAGGAATCAGCTAATATGTTTTATTCTTTTGACAGATGGCCAGAGGCTGTATCTCCAGAATTAATACGATCCAAAATATATCCCTCAGTGTTTTCCTTCAAAGAATATGCTAAAGTGATAAAGTCTTCAAGCTGGTCCTTAATAAGTCCTTTGTTGGCTTTTCCCCCATAAATCTTTCAGTGAATTATAGCAGAAGTGATACACTTAATATCAAGGACACTATAAAAATCTATTTTTGCTTATTTAATCCTAAAAATTGTCATTTAAAATAACCTTGATATTTTCACTGGGATTATGTTTCCTGAACTATTTGTTTAAAATGATAACTGTGTCTACTGCGACATTAATTTTGATGATCCTTTTGAGAAAATAGACTGTTGGACTGTTACTTTATCTAACAATGGTTGTATCAATTTAAGAAATTTCTGAATTTTAGAATGACAAAATGTTATTTTTCCATAGAATTTTAGAGCTGAGAAATCACCTACACAGCACCTTCATTTTAAACATGTGAAAACTGAATCCCAGAGTAAATAACTTACCCAGAGACATATAGTTAATTAATGGCAGAGCTTGGGCTAAAACTCAAGTTTCCTGATTCTCTATCCAGTTGAAAACTCGGTGATGGAAGTAATCCCAGAGCTGTGTCCTTTTCTTATGACAGCTTTGCTAGATTACATAAAATATCATGGCAGTTTTAAGGAGTCTGTATTTTCACTCATCTATGTTGCATATGTTCAACAGTTTTTCTGTTTAACTCATATTTGTCACAGTGATAAAAAATGTTTTCAAACAAGATTAAACAAAGTTTGTATATATAAAATGTCCTTTCCGTAAGGTATGTGAATTTCCAAGAATTGGACAATGTTTTTACTGTTTTGTGTATGAATTGGCATCTACTAATGCTTTATATAAGTTTTGCTGAAATAGCAAAATAGGCTGCTGGACTAAAAGTTTAAGCAGTGATAAAATTCAAGAAACCATGGGTTGTCCATATCTAAAGGTAAGGAAACAATACTTGAAGATGAGCGTGGAAAACTTAAGACTCTGTTCCCAACATGTTATATTTTGTTTCCTACGATGCCACATTTAGGATTAAGTCACAGAAAGCATCAATTTGTGCCATGAAAGATACTCAGCTGTTGCAAACATTAACTTCAAGAAAACACTGTGTAGTTTTCTTAAACTGATGCTCATTTAATGTCATGATCTTGTTTTTTTTTTCATATTTGGAGATCATATTTCTTTCTTAAGAGTTGCTATAATACAAAGAAGTAATCTGGACTTTGTATCCAGCATCTAGTCATCATTGACGTATGTTAAACAATCTCCCTGTCTGTTAGCAGTGAAAAATAGATATTCAAAGAGTACTTCAGTTGTAAATAAGTGAATTTATTTATATTTTAATTATCTTTATAATTACATAATGAATATGCCTCAGCTTTACATAATTGTATGCATTTTACTGTTTTATGATAATTAATTAACACAGCTACTTAAATGTCAATATTACTTTTCTTTTTTATAAATTACTACACTGAGTTCAGGGAGATTGTGACATGTCTATTCTTAGGTTCTTCCCATGCAAATTATAGAGAACAAGGCAGATTAGAAACACCGTTTAAGATAGTTGAATGCTTGCCTATTTTCTCAAGAAGACTGACAGTTTTTGCTCTACTTTTTTGAAGGATCCAACTGGAATATTCTCACTAGATAAAACCATCGGCCTTGGTACTTATGGCAGAATCTATTTGGTAAGTGGAATTAGATTATTCTTTCTTTATTGTCTAATAACAACAATAATTAAAAGACATTGCAAATTAAATAATGCTAAAACATGGTATTTCACTTTGAGAGGTTGATCTAATTAGATACCTCAGTGACATTTGTAAAAATTACTGTTTATTACTGGCAAATCTCTAGTGAACCAAACAACCAAACATAAGATCTAAAAATTATTAGCAGAAAATTAATAGTCCTCAATGAAAAAGAGAAGTAATTCAGATAAAATCCAAGTAAAAATGCCACTTGTTTCATATTGTACATCTATACCATTCCAAGTACTGACATTCAACTGAAAACTGAATGTAATAAAAGGAAAGCTTTTGCAACATTCTGTATAATATTGTGTACCCAAGTGTGCACATGTGTATAATAAAGTTTGATGAAGAATCTAAAAAAAAACTCCATTTATTTAATGATTACTAAGACATTAAGTATGTACCAGGTAGTGTCATAGTCTCTGGGAATAAAGCAATGAACAAAACAGATAAGGTCCTTGATCTTCTGGGGCTTATGGTCTACAAATGTATAAGTGATTTAGTATGTGTATATGTGTGGAGGGATGTTGGGGGAGCAAGATACATTGCATAAGTAAGCACACAAATAACTGGATACAATTGGTCCTCTGTATTCGTGGTTTGCGCATCTGTGGATTCCACCAACCTTGGATCAAAACTACTCTAAAAAATTGTGTCTGTACTGAACATGTACATACTTTTTTCTTGTCATTATTCCCTAACCAAAAGAATGCAACAACTATTTGCTAGCATTTAAATTGTATTAGATATTATAAGTAATCTAGTGATCATGTGAAGTATACTGGAGTAGTGCATAGGTTACATGCAAATACTATGACATTTCATATCAGGGACATGGGCATCACCTGATTTTGGTATCTTGATATCAATTCCCCGTGAATACTGAGTAATGATTGTAATTGCAATTGTAATATATGATCTGTAAGAAAATTATTAGTGATTTAAAGGCATAAAACAGGAAGGCTTAATTTAGATTGAAAGGTCATAGTGTTGACTTTCCACTGCCTGGAATATGACAGCTAAACTGCTAACCAAGAGGATAAATATGAGGCAACCAAACAAATGTTTAATTGTGGAGGATAATGTTAATGAATTCAAGGTAGAGACAGTGCTGGCTTAGGAATAGGGCTTCTTAAGTTGCCTTGTCACCTTGATCAGGTGACCATCTCCCACTCCCACTCCCAGGGAATTGACATTTTCTCAATCTTGTATAAGGTTTTATACAAGTACAATGTTCCTCTTTCCAGGGCCTGTACCCTAAAACCCAGATTACTGTACTTAGGCTGATCCTTACTGTAGACTGATCACAGGTCCTCCACGTATGGGTTGTATAGAGGTATCCTAGTATAAACCCTGAGGAAGAGGTTTCTTTCTAGTTCAGAAAAGGGCGCCCTCTGCTTGTCAAACCTTGTACCTTTGGGGTCACCTCTGCCCAGAAGGGGCTTCATTTCTTATTCATCTACCCAGGCTCTAATGAGTGATGCTTTTTCAACTTTGCGGAGAATCATCTACAGCATAGAAGCTGAGTAGTAGAAGTAGCATGTAGACAGGTCCTAAAAACAAAATAATTCTTGGCAAGATAGGGCATAGAGAGAATGCTAGTATTCATGACAAGTTTTTTTCAAACCATTTTGACATTACCTATTAACAGAACCAATAAGTTATAAACAATAACATGATACAGACTCAGATATACTGTTTATGCTAACTGAGTTGCATCCTATACTGAATTATTAGTCAAGATTTATGTGATTTAGGTCAGTTTTGTCACCTTATACATAGATATCTATACCATATATATATATATATATATATATATATATATATGTATATACATATACACACACACACACACACACACACACACACACAATATTTATGCTACACTTATTATTCTCATCATTTTATACTTTTTAATTCCTGAGGGGTGTGTGTCTAATTTGAAGGTATAGCAACATTTCCACCACAAGATGTTAGAAATAAAAGCCTCTTAGTTATATAAGGTAAGAAGCAAGGAGAAGATTAGGTAACGTAGGAATATGGTTTCTCATCGTCATTTATCAGAACTATGATGCCATCAAAAGAAGAAAAATGAAGAGGCTAAAAGGTATGCTTTGTATGAGAATTTCCTTTTTGAAAACTCAGGATTTATTGAAGTATATTATATATTTGGCAAAATTTACTCTCTTAAGTGTGCAACTTTATGAGTTTGGACAAATGCATACAGTCATGTAACAACCACCATGATCAAGATTTTTCAATATGCATCTTAAATTAATCATAGTCTGCCTTCAAGGCATATTCTACCTTTTCACTGTGTGGTGTCTCAACTGCTGTGCTATAGTTATGGTTATCATCTATTTTGCTTTTTGCATATAATATAACACAATACTACTACTATTTTTATTTATATAGTCAATTATTTTTAGAGTAGTTAAAAATAATAACAGTTATTTATATTTTTCTTAATTTTAGCCATTTCTGGAATCATTGTTTCTTTTTGTAGATCCTAGTTTCTATCTGATATGAGGAACTTCAGCCTGAAGAACTTCCTCTAACACTTCTTGTAGTCCAGGGTTTCTGGTAATTAATTCTCTCTGCCTTTGTATGAAAAGTATTTCTCTTCCATTTTGAAAGATATTTGCACTGGGTATAGAATTGTGGGTTGACATTTTTTTTCTTTCAGCAGTTTAAAGATGCCACTTCGTTGTCTTCCAGCTTGCATAGTTTCTGAAGTCTGCTGTAATTATTATCTTGAATTCATTGTATTTTTTCTCTGACTGCCTTTAAGATATTTTTGTTTTAGTTTTTCAGCAGTTTGAGTATAAAATGTCTAGAGTTTTTTATTTATATGTTTTTGATGGGATTATCAAAGATGATTAGAGATCTTTGGGATTCTCTGAGCTTCTTGAGCATGTGCTTTGACATATTTCATTATTTGAGGGAGATTCTTGGCCTTTTCTTCTTCAGATATTTCTTCTGCCATGTTCTCTTTCCTTTTCCTTTGGAAATTTTATTTCATATATATGAAACTTTTTGATACTATCCTGCAGTTTTTGAATCCTTTGTTTTGAGGTGTGTGTGTGTGTGTGTGTGTGTGTGTGTGTGTGTGTGTGTGTGTGTGTGTGTTTCACTCTTTTTCAGTTCAGATCACTTTTTTTCTGTTCTCTTTCACTGATTCCTTCCTCAGCTCTTTTGAATCTACTGATGAGACTATCAAACACACTCTTAAGCTATAATACTGTTTTTTTTTTCAATTTTAGCATTTCTACTTGACTTTTAATAGTTAACATATTTGCTGAAATCCTCTATTTGTCCTTTCATGTTTTTCATCTTTTTCACTAAAGCCTTTCACATATTAATCATAGTCATGTTAAATTTTCTGTCTGATAGTTTCAATATCTAAGTCTTCTCTGAGGCTGGTTGTGTTGATTGCTAAGTCTCTTGAGAATGTTCCTTTTCTTGTTTTTTATATACATCTCAAAATGTTTATATGAATGCCAGGCATAGTATGCAAAACAGTAGAGATTGAAGTAAACAGTATTTGTGTTTTGAAATGGGCACACTTTTTCAGCTAGGTTGTTAATATGAGAGGTTGAGTCAATATAATATGAAGATTAGCTATGTTTGGGTTATGTTGTTGATATAGTTACCTTCGGTTTGCTACCAGCTTCAGATTTCTCTGTTACCTTGTGCATGGTGTTAGGGTTGGTTTTCTGCAGGGGTTTTCTCAATATTTCTGATCTGTTCTTAGTGTTAGTTCTTCTCTGTGCATCTGTGCCTCAGAGAGTTTCTCTCTGCATGTTCTTGCTCTCCTTTAGTGGTCTACTCCTGTTACTTCATACTAAATGCTTGTTGACTTAGTGGTGTGGACAAGGGAAAGTTCTCTGTTTTTCTGCTACAACCTCCATCTTATAATATCCTGTATCTTTGGGTCATGGGAGTGGTACTTTATTGGCTATCCTTTTCTTCTCTTAGTGGTAAGAGACTTCTAATTGTTTTGCCTCAGAATTAATTCTTGCCCTTCCCCCAGAAGTAAGGGACATTATTTATTGATTTATTTATCTATTCATTCATTCATTGTCTTTCGTCAGCTGCAGTTGGTCTTCATCTGCACCTTGGTGGGGAATACATTTTGCTGCTTTTCCTATGGTGCTTAAGACTTTTATTCATAAGAAGGAAATGAACTAAACCTGGTTTCATGCCTTTCTCATTGCAGTGGCTTCTCCTCGCCATCAGGTCTGTGCCATAAATCTGTGGAGAAGAGCCTGAAAGTGTCTAAAAATTCTTCTTGTGTTTTGTTGCCCCCAAGGTTTCTGTACTCTCATGCATATTTGACTTTTAGGAATTCATTTTAAAAATATCAAAATTGTGTATATCACTTCTATGGTGACCCTGACTTTCTCCTTGCAGCCACAGGTAAGCTGGTGCTTATTCCCGTTTCTCCTTGCAGGTGTTTGTATTTCTTCAGACTTCAGACTAGTTGTTTGCCTTAAGACTTTTTTCTAGATTCAGGAAAAGTTATAATTTTATAGATTATTCTGCTTTTTCTTTTTTTTTCTTTTCTTTTTTTCTTTTTTTTTTGAGTTGGAGTCTCACTCTGTCGCCCAGACTGGAGTGCAGTAGCCGCTCCCTGCAACCGCAGCCTCGACCCGCTGGGCTCTGGCGATCCTTCCACCTCAGCCTTCCAAGTAGCCAGAATTACAGGCATGCGCTACCACGCCCAGCTGATTTTTTAATTTATTGTAGAGATGAGGTCTCGCCGCCCAGGTGGGTCTCGAACCCGCGGGCTCAGGCAATCCACTCACCTCAGCCTCCCAAAGGCGCGGGATTACAGGCTGAGCCACCAAGCCCGGCTATTCTGCTTTTTCTTATTGTCAGGATAGGAGTGACACTCTTTACAGGTTTCACATCCTCATCAGAAGTGAGAAGTT